TAGTCATGGCTTCCTTTAACATTCACACCCTTAAGATCAAGACTTCAAATTCATAGAAAAGAGTCTTATGAAGTGTTTCTCATTGATATATTTTAAAAAATGCTAAAGATAGTAGCAACGGAGTAGATTTTTGGTCTTTGTTTTAGTTCAAGTAGTAGTAGTAGTAGTATGAATAAATAAATATATATCATGTAATGTTTTTTTAATTGTTCATCAACTGAAATAAATGATCCCATTTTCAAAACGTAATACAAATGAGACAATACAATTGTAATCATTCCAAAAACAATTGGTCACTTTTTTTACTCATCAGCTTAGTTTCCAGTTGCAATTAATATGTAGCTGAAATTATTTACAGCAACTTTACTACTTTATTGCTTATGTTAGCTTTCAAGTCATATCCAATTCGGCTTATAATTATGTATATTGTAAATAAAATCATGATTGTAACACAAATGTAGTAATGAATTTTGCCTTTGATGGCATCTTTATTAGATCTTTGCTCATATTTTTTGTCAACGAAAATAATGTACTTGCAATTGAAAGAATGAAAAAAAGCTTTTTATATCAGTTTTCTGTCTGTATAATAAGTATCTCACAAATAGTGTCCTGCACTGGTACGAATTTTTGCACCAGAATCGAAACTAACACTTTTTGAATATGTGGAATGGATTCTGACAGAACTCGAACCGTAGCTAATTGACGTCCTGCAGATAATTTTACAGATACTATAGAGTTTCCGAACTTTTATTTTATATGAAAAAGTATATTGTTAAGTTTCTTCCATAAACAGCAACAAAAAAGAAAATGAACCGAGTGCCGTAAGATTCACTTGATGTCTTTCTGCTTCTAAAATTTGATCAATGTCACTAGTTATATGTTTGTTTGTTGCTGATGATGCTGAAATAGAACTTAGTGTTCGTGTTAAACGTTATAATTATGAATACATATATGAATGCTTTGTCCATCACGATAATACATATTCATCTTTCTGATAGGTCATTTTCCTCTCTATGTATTCAATTATTTTCTCAATTGATTTCTTATCATTTACGAACGAATTTTCTTAGTAAGATAATATTGCTTTTCACTTCTGTGACTTCTTGTAAAGTTACATGAATTACTTTATCATGATTGAAACAGTTTTCATTCCTATGCTTTTAGAAATAATATATAGCAACTTGAAAAAGTAATAATACTTTGAAATGTCAAGATCTCATATATTGCTCGGTTAGGTGTCGGATATCCGATCCAGTTGCAGAATACTACTTTGAAACAAAATGTGAATAGTATCTTAAAGCGTACCGTTTATTTTTAATATAGAATTACATGACACGGCGTACATCAATGTGTACATAAACTAATTTTTGACAAATGTCAGCATCATATATATATATTGTTTCTGAGATATGTAACAAAGAGTATTCCTTATAATTCATTAATTTCGAAACAAATATTAAGACAACTGTATAACCAATATACATTATTAGAGACTGATAGAAGTTATTGTGATAATTCAATTTATTGATTAATTTGTTCTTCAACATTCAGGGAAAGACTTCAAAAGAATTGCAAAAAAATATGATGATCTTTTGTTTTAGTCCAAGTTCTGACTAAGAGGTTGATCATCTTAATCATAAATAGCTATTTTAAAATCACTTTCATAAATGACTGATTTATTTTTATTTAATAAGACTTCATATCAGTTTCTACTTTTCGTTTCTCTATTGAAACTCATATTTAGAAAACAATTTATAGATCAAGAACGAATACCATTATTTTATAATTGGAAAACGTCTACTTTTTCTCAAGAAACAAGAATGTGTTATGACAAGCACTAACTTTTTGTCTATTATTAAATATATTTATTTAATTATTCTTGACTGCCTTTATTTATACTGAAATGAATGTCGAATGATCTTCAAATATACAGAGTGTCTCGCAAGTAATTTTATGATAAAAATATTCAATATTCTCACTAGACTGTAACCAATTCGACTGATTTTTTCCTAGTTATAAAGAAGGCTTTTGATTTTTTTCGTAGGAAAACTGCTCGCAGATGGTTCTTTGAATTATCCCTTTTTTTGAATAAAACACAGAAATGTGAGTCTGCTGTTTTGGATGAAAGCTATGGACGATACACACCAACAGAAAAATATTTTTATTCTTCACGAAAAAGTTTTTTGGTAACGGAGGGTGCACAGACACTGTGTATACCCCTTCGAGTACGCTGCTGGTCTCTGATCTCATATGAAAACCAACAAAAGGTCTTCAAAAATTATGTACACAATGGATCATCGTCGAGAAACGAAATTAGAATCGATAGCCATCCATTGGCAATCCCAGTCACTAATAAAATATCATCTTAGTCATCATATTCTACGTAACATTGACTACTTTGAATCTGCCTGGCATTATTCTCAGTTTGGCTCAAAATATACAGATTTTTCTGTTTTATCATTCGCTAATTAACAACGATATCACATACTTTCGAACACTCGCAAGACGATAATTCCGACACCTAATTCCAGTGATTTCCCGCTTGTTCTCAACTAGCATCGATTATACGCCATTCATCTGAGCTTTGAACATTCTCTGATAGGCTTTGATGATATCAGAAAATAATGCTGGAGAGTGTATAAAATCGAGTCCTACGAATTTTTGAACTCTTATCCTCAAATTTGATGCTTTTCAAAGTGAAATCCGACCTTCAACTGACCCTATTGAACAAAAGTTGAATTAAAACTTAAACCGATTCTAACAGGTAAAGTTGAACATGAACCCACTCACACGTCAGATCAATTCAGTTCCTAGAATTCAACTTCATACCACAATTCACACTCACAGCTTCGCCAGTGTATCGTTTACTCAAGCAAAAAACAAGGAAAAAAACTAAATGTCTTTTACTTTTGGTAAGCTTCCTATCTATGATGTTAGATAGGATTTTGATACTTCTTAAATTTTCTAAAATCATTTTAACATAAGAACAAAGACCTCTATCAGAGTCAACAACAGGATGCGTACTGTTTTTTTTATAGGAGCGAAGTACTACAGGGCTGAGGTTGAGTCCTTAAATGTTCCTGTGCGAAAATTTTAAGATAAAAATCGCCATACAAAGCACATCTATATAAGATAATCAGCATAAACTTCTTCTGACAGATGTGTTAAGTAGCATCATACTTACTCCTTTTTTCATTCTCCTTCTTCACATGTACCGATTAATACCAATAAGTGAAGCAGAGTGGGCAATAGGAAAGTACTTTTTCTCGAAGTGAGGTGGAGACCGAGAAATTCTTCCCGTTTCAGTCGTTGTCCTATATTCTTTTTATATTTAAAATAAATCCTATAGATTGAACAAAATTCATTACAGAGCTCATACATAAATAGATAATAGTATATATTAATTATTTGTCGTCAATATTAGAAGAGTACTCTTCTGTACAAATTATCTTTCTTCATACCAATTCTTATTAGAAAACCCGTGCAGTTTCAATGGAGACTTCAATTATACTAACGAGATTAAAATATCTAACGACAGTCTTTTTCTCCAAGACTAACAGATGTTGTATATATGTTTAGTAGATAGAGAAAATAAATCGTTCTTTTATAGTTCTGAATTAATTTTTTTCCACTTCTCTTTCCAAATGATTGTTAATGATTTCCAAATTTCATTCATCATCAAAAGAGTATTTATTTTAAATAAACAAAAGAAAATTGTCCTGATTTTTGTGTTAACTATCCTTTCTTAACAGAATACAAATTAACCAAGTCGTTCATCGATAATTTTTCAAACTAACTTGCGTATTCTAAGCTAGGATTATTGTAGTTGAAACGTTTTGTCGTTTGTTTATCGTAGAACATTAATATTCTACTGTTTCTTACGACAGGTTTTTTTGCATTAAAAATATAACAATGATTCAAGACATTTAACGATAAAAATTTCATTTCCATTTAAAATTAATAGATTATGTCATTTTTCATATTATAATTGTAATAACTGTTTTGAGTTCAGGAAAAAAGTAAAATTAAACAGAAAAATCCAAGTGTCATCTATCTAATATGAGAATGATCATCAGTTTCCTATGAATAGAACCTTGTGATACACGACTATTTCGTTCAAATATATATATCTCTATCGTTATATGTCGAAATCGTATTATCACTCAATGTGAACAGAACAACTATTGGAAAATCTAATTTTTCTTTTTTAGCATAATTCATCATTCTAAAATTCAGTATTCTAGCCATTTCACTAAAGAAAAACTATGATCAATCTGTAGAAAAAATCTTTGAAGAAAAAAAAAATCCTAAATATTTGTTGTAATTATTATAAATAAATATAGTACCGGATCGTTAAGACTCTTTGTAAATTGTGTGTTACCAGAACAACGTCTCATTGTTTATCAGCACTTCGTTTGCTTATATTCCATTCAGATTAAGTCATAATTCAACTAAGTATATAATCAACCAATAATACAAGGAATCATACTGCAAATCAGTTCAATGAAATAAAAATTTTGAATAGAACAAAAAATATGACAAATACGATTAAACAACTCGTGTAACGAACAAATTATTGCTTTTCACTTCATGGAACATGACTTCCCTTCACTTGTCTTTAGTTCTTTTCTTTGTCTATTTTGTCATTTTTTTTCTGTGTTGTTGATTTTTTTCTTCAATCTCACCTTTCTAAAAATGGAAGGCACTATCTACATACATCACTATGATTAATATTACGTCTTTATATTGGTTTCCATTTTCTTAGTTTTGAATTTCATACAAGAATGTTTGTTACTTTTGAATTTCTTCATTTTGGTTCAGTACATATCAGTCAACTGCATATCCGAGCTGCATATATAGCTAAACGAATCGCATAATTAAATAAAAATCATCAGATTACGAAACAAGAATATCAATTAATTCAAACTGAAGATATTTTGAACAAACGGTTTTCATTTCTGTATTATATTTCAATACAACAAAAAACAGTACAATATAATTTACATATCTTCAACACTCCATAGATAGGCTTCTTGTGTCTTGGCGTGTCTATGAGCAATCGATTCAAATAATTTCTTTTCATAACCATTTGATCGATCGACACCATCCCATCGATAACCAGGCCAGATGTCGAATCTAAATATATATTATAACTTGAGTAAAACTAAATATTAGAGAAGTCATATTTATACCTATTCTTTTGAGGATCAGGACCTCTGTAACGAGGTTTAGGTGGAGTACTATTACTATTATTCGTTCGATCACCTACATCAGATGTTTTTTTGGAAAGATATTTGAGCATTGGATCATCTAATTTAAAAACAAGAGAAAAAAGAAAAGATTTTATAATCATTCAATATTACTTAATAAGAAATAGGAAGATATCATATAAATATACTTGTATTTCGAAAATAAAATTTCAGAACTTGAACTATTTCATTTACCTTCACGTTCTTTTTCTTTAAGCATAGTATCAAGATCTGCATCATCTCGATAACGTGCTAATGGTTTTGCTGCTTGTTCTATATAATCTTTCACAGCATGTTCTACTTGTCGAACTTGAGCTAAACCACGACCCCATTGTGCATATCGTTCAGCTACTTGTTCTTTGTGTTCGGCTAAACGTCGTCGTTCTGATTTAGCTGGTTGAGAAGGTGGTGGAGGTGATTCTTGTTTTGATCGACGATGTGTTGATGATGATGATGATGATTCTTCTTTTATTTGACGACGATATGTAGATGATGATGGTGATTCTTGTCGAGAATGTCGACTTTTTTTTTGATGAGAAGGTGAAGATTTATCTCGACGTCTTGGAGGACTTGCATCTCCATCGTCATCCCGTGGTTGTTGTTTGCGAGGGGAAGAAGTATCACGTCGTGTTGATGGATTTGAATCATCATTATATTTATGTTTTCGTCGAGGAGGTGATGAATCATGTCGTCTTGATGGACTAAAATCATCATTTGTTCGATGTTTTCTTCTTGAAGAAGAAGAATCATCATGTTTTCGTCGTGGTGGAGATGGATCACGTCGTCGTGGTGGACTAGGGTCATCACCTGATTGTCGTTTTCTTCTTGGAGGAGAAGGATCATCATTTTTTCTTCGTGGTGGAGATAAATCACGTCGTCGAGATGGACTTGGATCATCATCTGATTGACGTTTTCTTCTCGGTGGAGAAGGATCATCATCATTCTGGTGAGTTTTTCGTTTTGGTAGAGATAAATCAGGATCGTCGTTTCTTCTTGGTTGACGTCGATCGATATCAGGATCACTATCATCAGATGAGTTTCGTTTTGGATGAGATTTTGTTGGTTTTGGTTGAGGTCCTATACTGCTAGGTTCAGGAACTTCTTCAAAAGCTGCTGTACGCCAACGTTTAACATCATTAAATCGTTCTTTTTCACGAATTTCTGATGGACGTTCATCAATAACACCTAATATATATTGATAAGAATGAGTAAAAATTTTATTGTTAACTTAAAAACGAACAACAAATAAGACATACCAACAACAATTGGAGCATCGTCAAACGAAACGATTTCATCATCAGCTATAGTATTAGATTCTGTTGTAGTACCCCATACTATTGGTGCATCATCATCAATAATACGTACATGACCAAGATCTGTTGATTTTGATTTTTTCTTTTTTGTTTTCTTTTTTGATGTTGTAGTTGCTTCAATTTTAAAACCTTTACGTTCAACTAAGTCAGTCATATCTTAAAATTCGAAAGGAGAAAACAAAAGTTCAGTCTTTTTTGTTGTCTTAATGTCAAACGCAAAAAATAAAAGAAATGACTAATTTTTTTTTCTAAAATAATTAACATAAAGAAAGAATAAAGGTTTTAGTTGCATGAGTATACGATAGAGACAAAAAACAAAATGTTATTGCACTTAATTACGACATACAATAAATCGCATGGAAAATAAATAAGACATACATCGATCACAAATTGGTTTTGTTCTTATTTTAGTAGACAAAAAAAGAAGAACTAAATAATGATAAAGATAAACGAACAAACATTGGAATAATACTAAATCAAAAAGAGAGAAAAAAAAATAGAATCGAGTTTATAAGATAATAATTATGATTAAATGGAAGGATAAACAGAATATAACAACACAGAATGCAAATAAATATCATGAAAAAAAGAGAAAAAAATTAACTTTCTTCCATATCGCGAAATGCAGCTTGCATACGTTCATTAAGCTCTTCAAGATCACGTTTTATTTTTTCTTCACTATCTTTGGTTGGGTCCTAAATTAATTAAAACATCTTATAATAATCAATCAAAATATTTAATAAAATGAGAATTTACCTTAAATTTCATACTGCTTAATTGATGAATAATATCTCCTAGATTTGTTCGAATATCATTCCATGTTATTTTCTTTTCTGATTGAGCTGTTGTTTCAACAGCATGTCGTGCTAAATCATAAAATGCAATCATATTACGAAGCATTGCAACACATTTATAAAATGGACAATATCTTTAATAAAAATAAAATAAATAATTTAAAAAAAGAAAATATTTTTTTCTTACTTATCATATGATGAATAACCATTTTGTTGAAGAAAATCATCTTTTATCATACGTGCTACTTCAAGTGTTATTTTATCTGTTTCAGCTAATGATGCTTTACCAACAAGTTGTACTATATCAGAAAGATCTTCTTCTTCTTGTAAAATTTCTTTACACTAAATTAAAAATAAAACAAAATTTTATTTTTCATATTCAATATAAAAATAATATTCATACTTTAGCACGTAATGGTACAAACTCTGGATAATTTTTATCATAATAATCATCAAGAGCACGTGTGTATTTACTATATGAAATAAGCCAGTTAACTGATGGAAAATGTTTTCGTTGTGCTAATTTTTTATCTAAACCCCAAAATACTTGTACAATACTTAATGTTGCTGCTGTAACTGGATCAGCAAAATCACCACCAGGTGGAGAAACACTAAAAATAAAATGAAAATCATACATTTTATATTATTTATTTATAGTCCTGCACAAAAGTAATTGACTCCCGTAACGTGCTGCTATCCTTTATAATATCGAGTTGATATTTTAGGTACATGCATGTATGCAACAATAAATCTTGACATCAACCATCATCTTGTCTTTCACCGATTTACGTGTACTAGAATGATGATACATACATATTCTTTTGCTTGTTAAAAATTCATATTCAGCGAAACTATGTACTCAAAAGATTTTTTTTTTGTCATTTTGCTATTCTACAAGCTACTACTATTTTTTGTCTAGCGCTAAAGACAATTCTATATGTCTATTTTGCTATCATCAAAGTCCATGACATATAGTTAAGATCTCAGTAATCAGTATGCTCCTAGCTACTGAACTCATTTTGTAACGCTAGCTTAAATTTCATTCAGTTCTGTGGTTCTACAACTTTAAGAATGGACTATTCGTCTCACACGGTATGTTCAGATGTTCGAAAAACAAAATTTCTGAAGTTTCTAGAAGTTCGATAATCACATAGCAGTGTAAATTAAACATTTTTAGAAAATATTAACAATTTCAGAAATTGTAGAAATTCTGGTGATTACAAAATTACGGTAATTACGAAAATTCTGAAGAGCACATCAGTGTGAAAGACACCGAACAATATGCAACATAAATGCTTGAAATTTCCAAAAGGCAACTATTAGCCTTTGACCTCAGAACTGAATATGCGTATATAGGTTAGCAGAGTCAAGCTTCTTCTATCTAAAGGTCTATGTACTATCAAGTTCTATTCCATATCATTGAAATACAAATAAAGGATGCCACCTTCATTACGACCATAGTAGAAAGCATCAACGGTGACGTTTTTTATGAATCTCAACGGTACACAATGAACTTGATAGTATTTACAAAATTGTATAGAGGAAGTCTTCCTCTAAAAAACTACACATATCCTATTCAGTGATAAAAAATGTTGCGTCTCATGGGATCTTTCTACTACAGTTTTCAATGAACCGGTGAAAGTCATGGTGAAAAAAGTTCATCTTACTAAAAACTAGCATTTGTTCATCAACAAACATTTTTCATGAAAAGACAATATCTCAATGATTTTAAAATAATTTCTAAGAAAATTCAGATCAAAAATAGCTACGATATTGATCTTTCGAATGAAGAATTTGACAAAAATATTTGAATCAACATGGTTCAGATAATAAGGTGATGACAAAAGGAAAATGATGTCTGAATCATAATTCCAATGTATATGAATTGATGAAGAACGAGTTGTTGCTTGCAATCAGATTATTTTTCTCGTATACATGTCCCCCAAAATATCAGTCCAATATCATAAAGAATAGTAACACTTCACGAGAGATGATATCTTTGTCCAGGACTGTATTTTTTTCGTTTGTATGTTTTATACTTACGCTCCGACAATGCTTACAGAACCTTCACGTTCTGGATTACCCAAACATCGAACACGACCAGCACGTTCATAAAATGAAGCTAAACGAGTACCTAAATAAGCTGGATAACCCGAATCTAAAACAAGAACATACAATAATGACTTAAGATTTTCAAAAAAAAGAAAACAAAAAAACTCAAACTGACCAGCAGGCATTTCAGCTAAACGACCAGAAATTTCACGCAGAGCTTCAGCCCAACGTGATGTTGAATCAGCCATCATAGCAACATTATAACCCATATCACGAAAATATTCTGATAATGTAATACCTTTAAATAAAAACACAAATAAACTTTCAATAAATATTCATTAATCATATTCACCTGTATAAATCGAAGCTTCACGAGCAGCGACTGGCATATTCGATGTATTTGCGACTAAAGTTGTTCGTTCCATAATTGATACTTCTTTACCTTCTACTTCCATTTTTAACTATAAAATGTGGTTTTTTACGATAAGTCATATTTAAAAAAGAGAAATTATCAATTGAATTTTTTTACTTGAGGAAAATCACGTAATACTTCAGCCATCTCATTTCCACGTTCACCACAACCAACATAAACAATAGCATCACTATTAGAAAATTTCGAGAGTGATTGTGAAATAACAGTTTTTCCACAGCCAAAGGCACCTGGAATAGCTGTTGTACCACCTTGTACACATCTAAACATGCAAACAATTTTGTTTCGTTTCTTTTCAATAAGAAAATTCAAATACATACGGAAATAATGAATCTAATACACGTTGACCAGTTAATAATGGATGATTAGCTGCAAGTTTTTCAACTACTGGTCGCATCTGTCGAACAGGCCAAACTTGAAGCATTGTATGTTTAGTTTTTTCTCCATCAAATTCTGTTTCGAGAACAACATCCTATTATTGTTTTTTTTGCAAAACAATTAAAATTAAATCAAATAAAAAGTGTACTTTATTCAACATACTTCAAGTGTATAATTGCCGTCCGGTGCAATATATGTTATTGTACCTTTGGATTTTGGATGAAGCATTATACGATGTTTAATCATTTGATTTTCTGGTACTACACCAAATATATCACCACCAGTTATATGACTACCAACCTAACAAAACAAAGACATATATGAAACTTCAATTTAAAAAATAAAATATTCATACTCGAAGACGATTATCTGGTGCAAAATGCCATGATGTGGAACGACTTAATGCAGGCACATTGATACCACGTGGAATATAAATACTCTTTGTATGATCGTAAATAACTTCAAGAGGTCGTTGAATACCTATACGAAAAAATATCATCTGTATAGAAGACTATTTTTGTTTTGAAATAAATCATTCTTACCATCGAAAATACTTGTCATAATACCAGGACCAAGTTCAACGGATAATGGTTTGCCTGTTCTTAAAACTGGATCACCAACCGTAACACCAGCTAAAAAGAGAATATTCAACATAAAAATTATTATATTAAATAAAACAGTCTTTTAAAAATACATGTTTCTTCATAAACTTGAATCGTTGCCAAATCATTTTCTAAACGAATAATTTCGCCGACTAATTCTTCATGACCAACTCGAACCTATACAAAAAAAGCAGAAATATTTTTTTTTTTGTTGAGATGAAATTTCGCATAGACACAATAAAAGATTCCGGTTCTTCTACTATGTTTTAGCGTACAGATTTCTTAAACATGTGTTCTAATATGAATTTCTATGCATGAAAGATCAAATATCATGATTACATTTTAGTTAGTTCAGTACAAAGATATTTCAAATGGAAAGTAAAAATACACAAAAAAAAGAACTACAGTTGAATTCCTTTTTTTTTATAAACTAATAAGAAAAGTATTGTGACTGATTAATTGCTTTTCACTTGAGACTATGTGCTTCACGCAGATCCAAGTTAGTTACAAATACTTTGAAAAGAATCTGGTCTCATAGCTTATTACTGTCGATATATTAGATTTTCAAGGTGTTTTTCATTAAAATGACACGATGATCCTCAGGGACGCAAGCAAAACTGATTTTTGCATTTCTACTTGAAACTTTCCATAGAGACTAGAGCTATCGAGAATAGTTTATTGTGAAATTATCAGGTATTTTCGCTGTTCCCATTCTGAGATACCGCTATTATAAAAGCTTATTTTTTTTTCAATTGTTCATATACACTAGCAGATTTCATGGTCTTATTTCAGAAATCGAGCAAATTAAAAAATTGAAAACTTGCGCGAAAAATTATTCTGGTTAAGATTTGTCTCTACAAAAAAAATTCAAGTCAAAATTTGAGAACGAATTTTCCTAATATTCCTGAGGAAGACTACGATATTGACTTTAAAAAATCGTAAAAATCTAGTATCTCAGTAGCAATTAATTAACAGCAAGAAATCTTTTCAGTGTATTCATAGCTTATTAAAGTCCACATGATGCACATAGTTCTGACTCTAATGCGTTTCACTAGTTGGGAAATCTCCCTCATGAACTATTTCATTCTGTTGTTGTTCATAATGTTTAAAAAGTGTGAACTCTTACTGTTTTCGGTCATCATCTTCGGATTTCAATTGATCATATATTGATAAACGTACTAATTCATTTTCATATTCATCAATAATTGAAATCATTTCAAAATACTTGAAGTCTTAATAGAACTGTTACAATTATCAAAATTTGATTCTTCATCATCACAAATCAGTGCAAGATGTTTTTCCTCCATATTTTATATATTACTACCGATACAAATGGAATTTAATATGAAATCGCTTGTTTCTGCTTTTCATTCTAATTCAAAACAGCTGCTTTCTTCTTCCGAACAAAATATATACTCCCGTTATACATAGATAAGCTATTACTCTCTCTTCTTGTATTCTTTCTTAACTTTTATTTTCCAATTAATAAGAAGTTATTTACAAGACTTGGGTCCTCTAATATATGAAGAAGTTTATGCGCTTTGTCGATCTTACCAATTCATTAATCGCCGAGCCAGCCATATGATTAGCTATAACGACTAAAAATGGAAAAAAGCAAATGATTAGCTTATGCATCGAAATAAATAAATTTTTTCATTACCTGGACCTGAAACTCCAAAAACATAACCATATTTCGCTTCTCGTTCAACATTACCTATTTTTGGAAGTTTATCTCTACTAGCCATGTCTTTAATATAATGACAAAAATTAATCTAGAACGAAAATTAAGAATTTTTTTTTTGTTTTAATTGTAGTAACAATTAGTAGCAAAAGACCAATAATAATAATAATAATAATAACAAAAAAAGAACATGTACATTAAACTTTTTTTTCTTTTTTAGTTTTTTTTGTTTTTCTTTTTGATAAATTCATTTCATCTTGATCATCATTTAAATGTCCACTACTAGATGGTAAATTTGTATTTGTTGATAATGTTGGTGTACTTGTTGTTCGATTAAGAATACCAGCAACAGGTGTTGTTGTTTGTTGTTGTATAATTGGTGTTGTATCAGCTGGTGCTTTTCGTTTAACATCTGGTGATACACGTGATGTTTGTTCATTAATAACACGTTGAACTTGTGGTGAAGGTCCTGGAATTGGATTTGTAACTGGCGGTGGAAGATGTGTTTCTGTTGTTGGTGCTGAACGTGGTTCTTTTGGTGAACTTGTATATATTTGATATAAATCAGGTAATATTGGTTCACGATGTAAACGAAATGCACTAAGTTGATGTTCTGTAAGTGGTAAAATTTCTTTTGAAATAATTGGACCAGCAAATAATGAACGTAATGTTCCAACACCACCCTGTGCATCACCAGCAAATGAAGCTGCTTTATGATGTGCTGTTTCAGCTAATGGAATATCTGTCAAAAAATCACTTAATGATGGTGGTATTGGTTGTTTAACATATTTATCAAAATCACGACTTAAACCCCAATGAACAATAAGATTTGTACTACCAGTTGGTGGTGGTTCAAGTGGATAATGACTTAAAAGATAAAACGGTGGCGATGGCCGTTGTGTTTGAGATTGCTGTTGTTGTGATGGATTTGAATCAAGTATAAGAAGATCATCATGTGGCATATTTCCATTTGTTTTTGATATATGATATCCTCCTGGTACACTCATATTCATTGTTTTATCTAAAACAAAAAGAAAATAATATAAACCAAAGCCATGAGAGTTATTTTTTTTTGCGAGCAAGTTAAATAACTAAATTCAAAAACATATCTATACTAGATAAATTTTGTTTTTCTAACAAAAACAAAAGTCTAGTAATGAGACGTTAAAATATTGATAAAAAAAGTAAAAAAAAAAAAATAAATGTTTTATATAAAAGACTTCAGCATTCATTCATATATTCGTTGATTAACATTCCAAATTTTTTTACTTTTGTTCTGAATTATTTATTGATGTTGATCGTTCATCTTTCCGTACATATGTACCAGAATAAATAAAACCTTGTTTTATGGCTGCATCGAATGCTTCATGTATTCCAACAGCACCATATTTATATGGAATAATTGGTAAGTTTTTCTTATCAATTTCAGCAAGTATTGGATCAACAATACGCCATGCTTCTTGTAATTCATCGGAACGTACAAAATTTATTTTTGAACCCGTAAATACATCAAGTATTAAACGTTCATATGCATCAGGTAATTTTACACCTCGATATCGTTCATTATAAGTTAAATCTAATTCAGTTTCTTGAATGTTAAAACTCATTTCACCAGGTCGCTTTGTATTTATTTTAAGATAAATAGCTTCATCGGGTTGTATACGAATAACAAGTTCATCACGAGATAAACTTTCTTTAGTACCATTTTCAGATAATTCTTCATCAAACATTGTACCGGGTACATCACGAAATTGAATACGAATTTCAGCTTTTTTTTCATTTAATGCTTTTCCTATTAAAAAAAAATCACTTTTTAGCAAGAAAATTTTAGAACATCAAAAAACAAATATTGATAACATTTCTCACTATGATAGATATTAATGTGCATAACCAGTAGAATATGAATATCCTACAATAGCGTGTAGAAAAGATGGGATCGGTTCTAAAAGGAACACAAGTCGATTTCAATCTGTGATGTGTAATGAATGAAACAAGTTGAACTAAAGAATATGATTAGAAGTGAAGAATCTACCACTACAATGATAGTTTTCTGACGAGGCAGAGAAGTTCTCAGAAAAATTTTCTCTATCGTCAAAAAATATATATATTAGAAAAAGCCAAGAGAGACATAAAACTACTACGCACTCAAAATAACGTTATATAAAAAAATTCATTAATTTCTTTAATAATTGAATAATACTCATGGTCTTAATATTTGGTCATTTCCGAAATTATTTATCACAATTGAATCAAAGCTTAGATTTGAAATTAAGGACGACAAAAGTTTTAGATTAGATTGAGGATTATTAGGAGAGCAGAGTTTTCTAATCTTTGACTTTGTCTTGATGATTTCGTCGTAGTTTATGGCGAACAGTATTTTATATTCATGAGGAAAAGCAAAATAATGGTTAATCTAAACAACAACGCAAGGAAATGAAATCTTATAATATACTGTTCACATTTGTAGGACATAAAAAAGTAAAAAAAGAAATGTTATAGAGGACATATACATGTCGAAGGAAATATGTATTGAATGGTGAAATGAATTAAAACAAAAAGCAATTGAATTGTTCTCTGTTACGACATCAATCATTTAATTTGTACATGAACTTCATATTCTGATATCCACAAACGAAAAACATTAGTAGCTAATTTTCTAGATGAACAAAGTTTTCAACATATATTTTTTATTCATAAGAGTTTTTCATTTCCAAAAAAATAACACAATCTTTCTCCTGCTCTTCCATGCTGATTGTTTCTATGAAGAAATATGTAGCATAATAGTATTTTTTTAAAGATAATATGAGAGTAAAACGAAAAGCTACTAAGTCTTGTTTTATACAATATTTTAATATAGTAAAAAAAAAAAATAAATAAAATAAATTTCGTTATATCATAAGATTGCACTACTACTAAGGTATATGTTAAGTTCTCGATAGATTTCTTTAAATTAAAATTATACCTGCACGAAGTATGAATGGTATACCATCCCAACGTTCATTTTTTATAAAAAGAACAACTTGTGCATATGTTGGTGTCGTAGAGTCTTTTGATACACCTTTATCATCTAAATAGCCTAGTTGACGCTCACTATCCGTTGATTCTTTGTCACCAATATATTGTCCAATAATAACATTTTCTAATTTAATTGGTGGTATACAACGTAATACTTTTACTTTTTCATCACGAATATCTTCACCGGTTGTTGAACGTGGTTTTTCCATTGCAACAATCGATAAGATTTGCATTAAGTGATTTTGTATGACATCACTTTAAACAAATAATTATAATTTTCCATGTAAATACAAGTATCATCTTAATACTTTGTTTATTCAGTTTAAAACAAATACAACATCTCAACCATGAACATGAGAGGAGAAAAAATGCTAGTAAGATTTTTTTTTTATGATTTAAATCATGGACACTACATTGTGACTCATGACTAATGAAATAAAGCGAAAGATTTTTCTTTCAACTTTTCAGTTTATTACAAAAACCCTAATTATAAAATAGAAAAAATGTTGCAGTGTCCTGGAAAATAAATTCATTTTTTGAAGAGAAGATAGACAGAATCTACTAGTACATTGGAGTAGTTATCGGTTCGTCGTACGGTACTAAAATAGTAGCATTTACTATTTATTCTTTTACAGTCAGTATATACTGATTATAAAAGAATGAATAATAATTTTCGACAAAATAGTTGCTGATCAAATAACCAACGACGAATAGTCCATCAATGAATAATCATTCGAGCAACGGATATCTCCTCATAAATTGTATATCTTCTGAATAGTAGAATAACTGCTCTATCAAATCGTGAAAAAAATTGATTTATTTTAGTTTCATTAGAAAACTAATCTTTCTTTCTTTCTTTTCGAACTAAAAAGTTATTCAGAAAGATTTCCTAACTAAATTGACGTTTCACATATATCCATAACTTCGAGTGTAAATGAAAATTTTAAAGATAATTCTTTTGAATGTGATACGTCTACTATATATCTATTACAACTTCTTGATTGACGATGATAACCTTCCACCTACTAAATTGCTTTTGAGTCGAGACTCTGTGCACTGTGTACACGAAATTGAACTATGAATACTCTGAAAAGAATTCGCGACCTTAGCTTATAGATACGAAGATATTCCACTTTTGTCGCATTTTTTAAATGAGTGCAGAAAACTGATTTTCGTATCTCAACTTGAAACTTTACGTAAAAACAGGTTTTAAAGAGTGTAGTTTATTGTGGAAATTTTCAAACCTTTTGCTTTACTTCTATTCTGACACAAGAATATCAAATCTACCGGTTTATATGAATGATATCAAAGATGCGTTATTCTCATAATTATGTCCTAGGATAGGAACAGCAACAAGAACTGTCATATTTACAAAAAAACTATTCTAATGAAAGTCTGTTTTTCGGCAAATTTTCAAGGCGAAAATCAGTTTTCTTGGGGTTTCTGAGAAAATTCATGGCATTCATTTAAAAAACACCATAAATGTGCCGTATCTCCGTAGTAATAAACTAACTGCACAAAATATTTTCAGAATATTCATAGCTCATTTCGATCTACATAATGGACATACTTTCGATTTAAAAGCGATTGAACAATTTTAATAATGCATAGTTTGTTAATTTTGATAAAATAAAAACTGATCTGTTCAAAAAGGTGAATAAGGGTTTACCTCAAAGTTTTCCAGCAAAAAAAATAGTAAAAACTAATTTTTTTTGTAGAAAAAAAACAAAAAATTATGTTCATGTGAAACTATATTTAGAACGTTCGACTCAAATATTATATCAAATAAAATAAAACTCATTCATACCGAATAATTCCAAATTCATCAAAATAACCACCACGTCCTTGTGTTCCAATATCTTCTTGAAAAATAATTTTAACAGCTGCAATTGCATCTCGATTCCAAACACGTGAAAATATTCGATTAGAAAATCGAAGTACCATAATATTTTGTACCATTTCTTTTCCCAAATAATGATCAATACGATAAATTTCTTCTTCAGTATATAATTTACTTAAATGTTCAGATAATTTATTTGAACTTTGAAGATCTTTACCAAATGGTTTTTCAACAATTAAACGTAACCAACTAGGTCTTAAAAGAAAGAGAAAAAAACCGAATCGAATAAAAATAAAATTATGCTAATTTTCATACGATGTTGGTCGACAATGTTTACTAATTAATGTCGATACATTTTCATACACACTTGGTGGTAAAGCTAAATAAAAAAATCGATGAGCATTTGTTTGATTTGATATTTTATTTGTTTGAAAATTTAAATTTTCAAAATCTTCAGATTTATCATAAGAACCAGACACATATGAATTAAGTTTGAGAAATTTTTCATACATATCATGTTCTTCTTTTTTAACCTAATTGAATTAAATTTAAATAAAAAAAGCTTTTTGAATAAAACAAAAATTTTATCTTCTTACTTTCATATATGTATGAGAATTTTCAAATATTTTCTCAATTGTCAACTGACTACGAGCATAACCAATAAAATGAATATTCTCTGGTAAAAAACCATCACGATAAAGCCACCTATCAAAAAAAGAAAAAAAGAACAATTAATTATTTTAATTTTTTGTTTCTCACAAACCAAAGTGTTGGATAGATTTTCTTTTTAGCTAAATCACCCTAGACAAATTTGAAGAACAAAAAAAAAATGAGAATTTTTCTTATTACACAAATATATTAAACATACAGATGCACCAAAAATAAAAAATATATATGATTGAGAAGCTATTGATGATTCTTTGCTTGCAATTTGTGCGCGTAAACGTTCATAAATATAATCAACTTTGTCTATCATATATTTTATAGTTGTATTCATGATAGATGATAATTCTATACAAAAGAAATATATAAATATTTAATTCTAATAATTTTACTCTCTATTCAGTTCAGAAAATACAATAAACAAAAATAATTTTTCTACAACATGTTGACACAAATGCAAATAAGATAATAGTCATAACAAGCATGACAAGCAAAATGAGTCAATGTCCAATACACTGAATGGGGTGACATCTAAATTTAATTTAAATGTCACAAAGAAATATCGTGATAGAAACGTTTCGATCAGACGATTTATTCATCTACATATATTTTATTTTTCGTGAGGATAAGTTGCATATAAACGATGACGCTACATTACAATGATGTATTTTAAAGACTGCAACAGATATTTTACTTGAATACTATTGCAAAAGTGAGATGTCGCTGAAAGCAAATCTTAAATTTTACTGGAATAGAAGAATTTAAAATTATAGATAATCTATATCAAAGATGTATTTCATATATTGCATATATATCGAATTTTCAAAAATTATTTTAAATGCTTTCATAGATTTGCAGCTAAAGATTGATTGGATGATTCATAACCAATGAATAAGTTTCCATAATTAATGACACCTATCCTCGGTTTAGTTTTATAGGATTTCGAGCTCAATTTTCTACATAAGAAAATTTTTGCAATGATTTATATTTTAATAAAATAACTTGTCCTTGAATTATGGTTGCTTAACAACAGAAGTCGGATATTCATTGATAATGGTACTACTATAATCGATCTATATTTGTTTTTTTGGAATCGATTAGATTTGATAAAAAAAAAATGCAAGTAGCTAATCGAACATCACGCCGTTATGTAACACCATCTATGAAAACTCAAACGGGAAATATTCGTCCGACAAGCAAAAAACGTTCTAATATTCCATCAGTGTAAGAAAAAAAACCGCAAGAATAGATCATGACTACTGAAAAATAAAATATGTAGACAATAACTAACCTAAGTTTTTCGGTGTATTTCTCGGCTATTAACTATCTTATGATTTGGATAAAAAAATACACAGACTTTACATCTATGAAAACTAATTTGTTTTTAAATAGATATAAATAAAAGAAGATCTGTATAAATTGATTTTTAGATCACAATCTTCACCAAAGAAAGTTCTTGATACATCAACATCAAAATCAAAAGAACCACCAACATTAAAGAAGTTTGATATTGGAAATTTTTCGAATAGATATAAGTTTATCTGCTTTAGACTTGTTGATCGTTTTCGTTATGATGAACCTCAACCTCGACCAGAACGAGATTCAACTAATTCTGATTTTTGGTGGCTACATGGTAGAATATTTATTGTATATATATATATTATATTATTTCTATTGTTTTTGTTTGTTGACATTTAGATGAACTAAAAAATAATTATTGTTCGAATACTAATGAAAATGATGAACGTAAATCAAATATTCCAGAATTCATTGAAGTAAAAGTGTTTTTTTTTTTATTAATATAAATCGACAATAGTAAAATGATTGATTATTTTCTTTTTATTATAGATATTTCCTTCGACAGATATTGATCAAGATTTAAATAAACGAGCATCTTTACTTCTTAATCAAACGTTTAGTGCACATTCATCTGATGTAGATCGTGTATCAAGTACAGGTGTTGGTTCGACTCCATCATCAACATTGACCAAAACAACAGCAAGTACTTTTCAACCTATTGTTCATGAACAACCAGCTCGACCAATATTTACTCGAATTAGTATGTCAGAAAAAAGTATATATATATATATATTCAATAATCTATTGTTGATTACTTTTTAGCCGATTCAAAGTTTAATTTTATAAATGATGGTGGTGAAGATGATATTTTATATCAATGGCGTTTACGCAGACGATTAGAACAAGCACAAAATGGCGAACCCATAACATTTCCATCAAAAGTAATTATCAATCAATTTAGATTATTCATTTTTGTGAAACACGTTCTAAAATGAGTGTTGAAGTATAGAGGTACAAATTTAAACTCGCATCCTTTGCTCACGCTACACACTGTCACAGATGTTGATATAGGATCACAGATCGTATGGAAATAATGTCGTCTCATAATAAAATATGTACTATTCTCCTTAGTGAATTTTTGGAAAAGGATAGTAAAAATATCTATTCGAAAACAAATAGAATAAACAATCTTCCTGTGATTAGCAATAGTAACTACATTGTGTTACATTTTAATTTTGCAGAGATGATGCTAACAGCTTTCATAACTAATTTTATAGATAACCAATCGAACTCATATATCTCCAACACGTTCATTTTTACCTACAACACCTATTGAAATACCGACAGTACTTCCAGCACGTCCACGTTCTCCTCCAGTAATTAAACAATCACCATCTAAACACGAAACACAACAATCATCAACAACAAATATCGAAACAGAACATATAAAACAAACTGTTACAAATCCAGTACCTGTCCGACAATATTCAGAAGCATCTACACAAACATTACAAGTATATTCATGATTATTTTAGAAACAAAGAAAATTTCTTTTCATTTAATAATAGGATGCTTGTATTCAAACATCGTTGACCGTTGACAATCATCTTTTTTCTTCAAGTTTCGTTCCAAGTGAAGTTGATCTTCATCCGACACGTGATAATGATCATCATTCATCAATGTGGCATCGTCCACCACCAAGATCAAAATGTGAAATAACACGAACATCATCATCACCATCACCTATTAAACGTCATCATCATCATCATCATTCATTTCGCCCTGTTGTTACTGAACATCCAACAACAAATAACATTTCTCATCATCAAAGGTCAATTATAAATCCTTCAAATACGGTTCAATCTTCACAAGAGAGTACATTAACACAAGTTACATCGATCATGATTAATGATAATAATAATACGAATAATCATTGTCAGATTAAAAATAATACACATATTACTCTAATCGATCAATATCATGAACAACAACAAAGTAATTTATAAAATATATATATATAAATGCAAGAGATAAATTTGAATTTTATCTTTAGATAATGATGATGATCATATAAATTATTCGAATGATGAAATATTGAATATATTAGTACAAAAACGAGACGAATTACTAATAGCATTTCGGTAAGATTTAATAAAATATAGGGTTTTTTTTTATAATGTCAAGAACTATCTATGATTTTTTTCTCTATATTTAGAGAAATTGAACAACGTTTGGCAAATATAAATTCTCAATGAAAGGGATTTTTTCTCTTTCTATTTTATATCTCATGTCAGATTTTGATTATTTTTCTTTTCTTTTCTTTCTTTGAATATTAATCATAATGATCTGTTTGATTTATTATTTCTTTCATAGTATTTTAATAAATTGTGTGATGTGTTATATGACACAAATGAATTAAATAGTTTTTTTTTGCAAATGCCCATCCATATATATAACTAACGACATTTGAAAGTAGATCAAAAGATTTAGTTTACGATATCCCATACTGTGAACAGATTTACTTCCTTGTTGCTACTTTTCTCTCTTTTTATTTCGCTTTCTTCTTGTTAGATCTTTTTTGATGTTATATAACCTTGATCACTATTCTTTTTGTCCTTAAGTTTAACGCTTGATCTAGGTAGCCGATATATATATATGTATATGTTTTTTTTCTTCTAAAGGACAAATAGCGATATAATTATGTGTGTATGTGTACATTTTTGGATTTTGAAATTAAATAAGGAAAAAGGTCGGATATCAGACCTCTAATACCTACCAAGGTTATTGTGAACAATATAAATCTAAGGCTCCTATGCTGCATATCCTCTCAAATAGAATCAAGATGCAATTTTATTTGTTGATGATACTACTTTTTACTATCATTTATTCAAGTAAGTATTCGTTTCTTCAGTTTTTTTGTAATATACAGTCCAGGAAAATTGAAATTATACCCTTTGATTTTTTTTGTTTTTTATTCCTATACGGTTTTATCTATATATAGGGAGAAAGCCCAGAACGCGCTGCAACTTTTAGTATATCTACGTTGAACATCAAATGCAGTTTAAAGTATAAAAACTGTATTGGAAGAAAAAGAACATTTTTTTTTATTGCCAAAACCGGGTGTTCATAATGTTGTAATATCTCTTTATTTCGCAAATATCTCGGCCTAGAAAAATGGAAAAACCTTCAATTTTTTTCAAAAGATGTGCCATGAAAAGCTGTACAGAAACAATATGGTTGAATTTCTTTTTATCTGTTTCAATGGTTTTTCTTTTGCTCAAAATGAAAAATTTACAGGTCTAGTTTTAATTCCCATAATATAAAACATATTTCGAGAACTTTTCCGATTTCCTATAGGATTTGGTTTATAAAATTTTTGTAGAGCTTTCGACGGCACATTCTTTTAAAAATAAATTCAATATTCCATCATTTTCTCAAGACGAGATATATGCAGAACAAAAAAGTCTTCCAACATTTTCAGTATGATGGGTAGTGACACTGCCATGTAAGTTGTTCATTTTGAATGTAAGAAAAACCATTAGAACCGGTAACAAGAAATTCAATCATATGACTTTTGTAGAGTTTTTCACGGCGCATCTTTTGAAAAAAAAGTCAAGGTTTTATCGTTTACTTTATTCGAGATATATGTGAAATAAAAGTCTTACAATATTATGAACATCATGGAATTAAAAAAAAATCTTCTTTTTCTTCCAATACAGTTTTTATACTTTAAACTGCATTTGATGTTCAACGTAAACATACAAAAAGATGCAGCGCGTTCTGGGCTTTCTCCCTATATATGGTAAGTTAATAGATAAAACCGTATAGTAATAAAAAATAGAAAAATCAAAGGGTATAATTTCAATTTTCGTGGACTGTAATACATATATTAATTTTAGCTGATGCATGGGTACGAGTACGAAATAAAGGTGGTTATGTAGCTCGATTTTACGTTGACTATCATATACCTAATACACCAAGAAAAAATTTTGTTTCTGGTCTCTATATGCCTGTCAAATTATTTGAACAAACATTATCATCTGGAAATTATCCAGTAGGTCAAACAAGAGTTCTTGGTGCACCACGCAGTGCACTTACTGCTCGTGTTCGTGTTGAACGTTTTATATTTTATCCATTTTTTGGTTGGTATTGGAAAGAAATATTTCGTCAAGAAGTTCATCCTCAAGGTAAAAATTGCTATGATATTTGGGGTACAACTGTTCAACCATATTGGACAAGTGTTAATTGTTAAATAAAAGACAAGAAATATTCTTGTGGAACTTAGTTATTAGTAAAATTTAGATATATATGTAGGAAAAAAAATTAAATAAAACTCAAAGTTTATAAACAATATGTTTGAATATCGTTGATTTGTGATGAAATTGAATAGTTGAATGGATTGCTTGATTGAAATCGACCTTTGCTTGTAATTGTATGTGTATGAAACGGTGCAATTTTGTTAAAACGTTTGTGACGCACTAAAAAGTATGAAAAGAAATAACAAAATGAGTCAAATTTGTTTTTTTTTTAACGTATAAATGTCATCCATAGAAACGACTGCTTCTTTTCTAATCAATTAATTGAAAATGTTCATTTTTTTACAAAAAAAGAAGAAAACAAAAGTGATTGTGATCGTGTAAATTGATTAGATAGTACTTTCATATAAAGATCAACAGATGAGACATTTAAACACTAAATTAATATACGAAAAAAGTTTAGCATTCAAACTATTTCGTAGAAATAATAACGTCATTTATTCGTTATTGAATATCTATAAACATTGATTGCACACTCCGAAAAAACATTTTCTCTACTCTTGACATTATAATGAACTTTGATATTTATATTTTATTGTCATACATATCCTTGATAATGTTTTGTTTATATTTGATTTAAAAAAAAAACTATTTCGTTGTTTTTTATAGATTGCGTAGAAAAAAAAATGATTAATGAATATTATTTAACAATTCTTATCAGTTAAATATTACACAGTAAATACGATCAAGATTTTATTGCATATTAAAAGAGTGTCAAACACTTAAATAGTTGTAAAATAGTGCTTGAAGAGACTTTGAAAATATTCACTTTTTTTTTTGAAAGATACGATACATTCATTCTATATACACTTTGTAAATTTTTAAACATATCTTTCAAATGATTACTTTGAAAACAAAAACTAATCTGTTTGAGTATATTTGTTTCTTTATTAACAATACATACTCGTTTGTTCAGCCGTCGGGATTCTATTATAAATAGAATTTAATCCATTTGACATCATAAGGTAATGTTTGTTTCTTGACTTTGTTTGATTACAAAATTTTTTAATTTCATAATATTTATTAGAATGATTTGATTGAAATATTTCTTTTGTTTCTGATCTATTCATTTTCTGTGAATGAAGATTACAATCATCTAAGATTTGAGATGAATTACATTTTTGTTTTGAAAACTTAACGGTATTATTATGATTATTGACAATAAATCTACATAGTATCGAATTATGATTTTTCTTTTTATCTCAAAAAAAAATTATTCTTTTTTGCTTACAAATTATAATTGTAACAATAGCATGAATACATGAAAAGAAATTTAAAAAAAAAGATAATTGTATACGTATCTATATGAAAATTAAATGTAGCAGTTTGAAAAAATGGACAACAACAGATATTGAGCGCGTACGCGCAAAGTTTGTGAAATAAAAACAGAAAAGAAAAAGAAAACTTCTTGGTATACGTGAAAAATATAAAAAAAAAGAAAAAGAAAAATGAACAAACATATGAGAATGGTGATATTTACAGAAAATAAAAAAAAAACCATATGACCATTCAAGTGGAGAAAAATGAAAAACTTTTCTAATATTTCTTTTGTTACCTTATGTCTTTGTCTTTCATCAAGCTTAAATAGAAATAAAAAAACAGATACCTAAAGCAAGTAAGGAAGAAAGAAAAACACTGAACATGTTAATATGTTGCTTTTGACCAGCATTCCAATTGTAACCACCATAATAACCACCTCCTCCTTGTTGATAAGGATTCGATTGATAACCAGGACGATTATAATAACTTCCACCGCCATAACCTGAATAGTAACCGCCTGAACCTGAATATGGATTGGAATAAGACCCACCACCATACTGTCCCATTTGTTGATTATATGGCGAATCTAGAAATCGACAAAAAATTAAATTCATAATATTACGATCAATAATAGTATATACACTATATGAAAATGTATGAACTAATTCATTAAATATATCTAAAACTCTTTACTTACATTGACCTGAACCATATGGATTATAACCACCTATGCCACCAGATGGATTATAACCACCTATACCACCAGATGGATTATAATTATAACCTTGTGATCCATAACCATATGAGCCTTGACCTGGATAATATTGTCGACCAGCTTGATTTTGTCCTAAATTTGAATCTTTAGATAATCCCATTCCACCTGGATTCATTTGAAGATTTGATCCAAGTGGTTGTTGTCGAGCTTCTACTTGTGAATTTTGATTAGATGGTTGTTGAGCAGTATTTAACATAGACTGTCGTCGAAGACGACGAGCTCGATTTGCATCAATTGCTGAAAGCAAAAAACACACATTGATAACTGATGCTGAATCACTGTCATATCATTTACATATATTTTTTACATGTACATATACTTAAACATATTCTGTTGAGTTATATTTTTTTTTTATTACTAAATTTTCTAATAGAGAAAAGGTCATCGTTAATTTGTTGCCGTGTATCAATATATTTATACTGTTCTTTTCTATTAATCTCTGTCTAACCTTTTATTGCATCTTATTTTGTTGAAGGTCAAATACTTCACGATACAGAATTAGAAGAGGTATCAATTATTTTTAATCTATTAATCTTATATAAAATTTTTAATAATCTTGAATTTTCATATATAGAAATAATTATAGGTAAAAGAATTAATTACAATGGTGTTACTTATATGTTTTGTGTACAGGTACTTACACACGGCTCATATACTTTTGAGATCATTTTTCAAGGTTACTCTCTTGTCTAACAGCTACTTTCTTATTACTGTAAGTTGTGAACAAGAATAAACTGTTATACATACTTATAATATATAATAAAAAGATAGTGATGATCACTTTCCAAAGCACAGCCATTTTATTTTATTAAATTTTTGTGGTTTAAATGAATATTAAATCTAATTGAAAGAACGAATGACAAATCAGTTATGGTATATGTTGAAATAAATTATGCAAAATGTTAAAAAGAGAGAAAGAGAGGAAAAAATTCCGTTGAATGAGTGTTCGAATTCTTTTTTCTGCAGTTTTTTTTTCTTCTCTTTTTTTTTTTTCATTCTCTATTTTAGTAGTAATAACTATCATAAAACAAGTGACGACAAAAAAAGAAAGAAAGAAAGACGAAGAAGTATGAGAAATGACGAATGACACTAGTGAAAGGAGCTATTGAGTGTGCATGCTAGCATAAACTTTTCTTCTGTCTCATTTTTACTTTCTCTCTCTTTCTCTCTTTCAATTTCTTTATTCGATGCCCTCTGGTGCGGTTACAGTTCTTTTTTTCGTTCCTTTCTTTCTTTCTTTCTTTCTTTCTTCATATAAACTCTATGCAGTTTTTTTATAGACGTAGTAGTAAATTTGTCATCTTTCCTCTTTAGTTCTTGCAATGGTACACCTAGACGAAGAAACAAAAATGTTAGGTGTCCCGATGCTCTATCTTGCTCTGTCTCTGTACACATACTTCATGACGTGGATTATGGTCAGCAAGCAAAGTTGTCATCTTTCTTTTTTTGTCGTGAAGTATGGGTCAGCATTTGTACATTGTCTTGTGTTTTTCTTACCTCAATGTACATAAACACAAAATGATGAAGCATTTGTTCTGTTTCGCTCTACATAACGTTAATGGAATTTTTTTCTCTGTTGTTTGTCACCACAAGGATGTATTTTTTTCATTAACTTTGTAGTCTGTCTGTATTTCTGTCACTATATTCATCCTCATCAATGCATGGTACATGAAAAGCATATATTTTATCAACATATGAAACATTATTGCAAACCATCATGTTCTCCAATGTTCTGGTTATTGAAAGGCAAATAAAATCATATTCAAGCCACACATTTACGTACTCGAATGACAAGGGAAAAAAAGAGAAAGACAACGAACGTTGTTCACTCACTTTTACGAATGTATTATAAAAAAAGTTATGTGTATGATTTACATTTTTATAACGGCAAAAGAGAAAAAAAAACAATTTAATTTCGTCATATTGTTTAGACTCACGCAAACCATTAGTGATGAGAACGTCAGTTACAAGGAGAAAAAACAGAAAAACATTTACTAAATTGATTAATTTTTACAGAAGACTTCACTTTTTTTTAACGCCTTAAGACTTGTAAAGAATGCATGTGTTTTTTGTGTATGTATGCCAGGACACGAGAATATTATACAAAACAAATCTGCTTTTTAGTCAGTTCCTATTTAATATAGATTATCGATATTATTATTTTATTTTCATGTCTTTTTTAAGAACAAAAGACAAGGAGCTATTTATAGTAAATAATTTTACATTAATCATCAACGTCATTAAAGAACAAAAATTACATCAATATTCGATTAGATTTCTTATGAAATAATAATTCATTTTGATATTTATATTAAGTTGCTTTTAAAAATAACAATTTGGTCTTTAATCAGAATAAAACATGTGCATCTGACATAGTTTTTTAATGACTAATGGAGAAAAATGAATAACGATACGATTAGTCAGAATGATTCTCATTGAGTGAGAAAAAAAATCATATGCCAATCATTGCATTTATTTGATACTACCCATTTGATTCTGAAGGTTATTCTAACAAAAAAAGAAGCAACGAGACAATGCTTTTTTTTTTTCATTAATAGCACTCATGTCACGATTAAGATCATTAATGCCTACGAATATATAACATTTAGACAAATAGAAAAAAAGCGTTTGCATAAAAATACGAATATTTAGAAAGTATAAAATTTGTATTCGCATAGTATTCAATAGAATTTTTCTTTTCTAATTATATGATGGAAAAAGTATCGAGTATATTTTTGATTTGAACAAAATAATTGAAGTGTAACTTCTAGTACATAAAAATCACTGTTTAATAAATACCATTGGAACTTTTGAAAAGTGTTCATATATGTGGTATGTTATATATTTTACTGCAAACCAGAAAAAAAAGTTTCAGAATATATAAGTTTATTTACTAGTTTTGAAGTACATAGAGACTATTCTCTGTATTGTTTGTCTTTTTTTCATTTCAATATTCATAAATCTAAAAAATTGTCAATAGAAAAAAAAACTATGCTTTCTTTTAAAATATTCTGTATTAATGTTTTTTGTCTTGATGTATACGAATTCGATAAAACGTTGTTATTGAATTCACTAAAATATGGATTTATCAAGTTTTATTAAACCAAAAGTTGTCCATTTTCGTTTCATACTTTGATTTTGATTTGTTTGACAATCATTTAAATATTCTCTTCTTCGTTCGATTTAAAACAGTGGGTAGAGAATGAAGTCAAACGTTCGATTTTTCAGTTAATTCACGTTTGATGAACTATTACCTCTGCTATTATCATTAGATGATTAAATATTTTCCTTTAGTGTAAGATGCTGTTGTGATGCGGTTGCTTTGCCTAATACCTACAGTTATAACAAACAATGAACAGTAGTTACAGTGCATTAACCAAAAATGATGAAGAGCAGACGGAAGAAAACAAATGCAGATGTTTGTTCATTTAAAAGAGATTACAACTGCAATCGAGACTATGTAAAAAAAAAAAAGAATGTTCAAGTTTAGAATAGCGAGATGTTCATCTATAGAAGATAGATTTCCAGTAAAACTCGTTTCATGGGACCGACGCATTGTTTTGAATAGAAGATGTTCACTGTCTTTGGAAAAAAAACTGATAAGTTGAAAATTGTTTGAATAATTTGTCTTTCTTTTTTCTTATTATATGTTTTCCTATGTCATTTTATCTGAAGAAGGAACTAACACAGGTATGATGCACTGTTTTAATTTATATTGAACCTACAAAGAGGTTTTCGGAAGAATAGAACAATTCTAGAGTAGTTCATATCCACTGGCCTTTAGAACTGAGTTATGATCGTTTTACTGAGTTTTCTATGTGTTTTTAGATATTTATTGAAATATCAAGTAATGGAATTTCTATCTGAAATTTAACTGATAGATAGACCTAATGATGCTTGGAATATCTTGAAAGTTTCAACCCAAAAGAATGTTCATTTATAGGGAGATATTGAATTTTCAGTAAATAGCCGCTTGTAACGAAAATAGAGTTTACTTGGAGATTCAATAGCTAGACAAAGAGACATTCTTGTCTACTGAGATTTTCAGTAGTATAGTCCAAGAGTCATTAGACCTATCTATGGACAATACTGCAGGTCAAAAATCCAGTAATACGATCATAACTCGGTTCCAGAAGTACATGAGCATAAATCCTTTTAATTTTTTCTAGTATTGTCAAGATCTCCTAGTGAATGCAATATAAGCTCAAAAAGTGAGTTACAGTATGTAGTAGTTCTCTCGTGAGAGATTGATTATAATTAAGATCAGAATATTACCGTCAGCGTATATTATATTCGCTTGTAATAGAAAAATCTGGATTTGTCTACCAAATCTAACAATTAATGTATTGAAATATCACTAAAATACTAAAACAGACAAAAAAGGTAATCTCGATAATCCCTTCAAGTTTGCTGAAAATTCAATGTTCTTTAGAAACAATAAAAAAGATTTTATTCAACAATTCAAATAATAAAAATTACTATTTTTGTTTTTCAATTACTGATGGATCACATATTAATTAATCGTAAAATTTTAATTGAATTAATTATATTTATAAATTGGTAAAGAGAATCGAATCCATAATCAAAGTCTTTTTGTTTAACTGAACCATTTAAAAATAAACAAAAGAGAAGTATGTGTTTTACCGAATTTTATTAATAATAAACTTTTCTGATTTATTCAATATGTCTGAAAAAGAAAATAAAAAAATATGTTGACAACCATTTTAATCATTTTTCTTGTACATGGACTGTTGACAACAACCCTATAGGTGGTCTTTCTCTCTCATATTTTCTTCATTAACCAACCTTCTTGTTTAATAGTAACAACAATATATGACTGAATTAATTGAAATTCGTCCACTAAAAACAGTGAAACAGCGACAATCTCCTCCACGTTCATATGCATTTACAACAGTTCAAGCATCATCATCTGATTCTTCAGAAGATGAAAATAGTTCAAATGAAGAATCACCATTCATTCTTAAATTAAAACCTTCAAAATCATCGAAGCGAAATAATACAATTCAAACATTACCAATAATTCTCAATACACAACCAGCTAAAAAAAAGAAAAAATCCCATAAGAAACATATACAACAATTTCTTATTAATACACAACCACCGTCATCACCAAAGAAAAAAGAAATTGTTATTAAACAAATAATGGAGCCTACATTATCTTCAGGAATTCAATATGTACCTATGCCAGCTCTAACGCCACCATTAACGACAATAATCGAAAGAAAACCTCTTGTTTATCAACGTGTTTATACACCGACTTTAATTGAAGAACATTCAAATGATTTTTATAGTTCTTATGAATCACCTGTTAGACGACTTGTACGAGCTCATCCATCGAATACAAAAAGTGTTCATTTACCAAAACATGCAAAAAAATTAGTTAATCGATTTTTAACTGGAATTGAACATGCACATAGTCGTCGAGTGAGTGAAAGATTTGAAAGAAATTTCAGTTTCTTTGTTTTTTTTGAATCTTGTAATTTGAATTGAAAATAGTATGATGATGGAAGTGATAGTGACTGTAGTATCGATGATTGTAAAGTATGTCGTCGATTTCGATCAGCTATGAATGAAGGTAAACGAAGAAGTTATAGTGACGTAGATATATACCGTGGTAGTCGAATTATTTTCGAGACACAGGCATGTAGTTGAAAATTAAATACACAGGATGTCTTAAATTATTTTTCTCGGTGATATAGGAACCACATAAACATAAACATGGTCATTCGAAGAATTGTAAAGTATGTAATTTATTAGAAGAATCGGATTTTGTTATTTCGACAACAAAAGATCATTCAACGCCTAGTACCAAAGTATGTTTTATAGATTATTCAATATAACAATATTTTCTTTGATTATTATGTTGAAGAAACGAGGAAAAAATATTCATGTAGTTGAAAGTTTTCCATCAAATGTTAAATCAACAGTAGAAACAACAACAACCACAACAACAACACAACCAAAATTAGTAGCTAATAATGCACCAGCAGCAGTTTCTTCTATTCCAATACAACCATCTTATTATCCAATGTCCTATCCAACTTATGTAGATCCAAACACTGGTCTTACTTATGCTTACGATCCAAATTGGCAATATAATCCATCTGCAACAGGAGTTCCCTATGATTATTCATCTTACTATACCAATCCAGCTTATATACAAAAGTATCTATTTTGAAATCATTGTTATTATTCATTTAAAAGAAAACTATCTGTGGTTGTGTTTTGAATAGCTTTTGATAGAAACGACAAAGACAACTGTAGTTTTCATCATTCAAGAGAGAATACTTGAAAGATAATCGAAGTAAGTCGAAATCTGATGGTTAATCCATTTATTCTAACAGGTGAGTTCTTATCGAAGATATGGAAAGTGAGATATTAAAGCCATTTCTCATCAAATTTTGATGTGTAATATGCATAATCAATAGAGAAACGTCTTCTCTTTTGATCTACATAAACCTCAAACATCATAACTGCTTCCATTCAAGAGTTATAAAGATTTTCATGAGGCCCCTAACTTCAGCAAATTGTTCGTGAAAGGCTTCAGAAGAGCTTCAAAAAGCGTTAATTCCTCACATTGAGTGTAATGATGATGTTTTTCTCAGTTTCAAAGAGATCTGAGACTACTATTTGAGCATTTTCAAAACTTCGATTATGGTGCTATATATGGGTGAAGTTTTTGAAAATTCAATCATGCTCATATAGTGGTTATAGGTCTCTTTGAAACAGAAAAGAAACATTACCACTTGGCTCAACATAATGAATTAATCCTATCTGGAATCTTCTACAATCAATTTGCTGAATTATGGCAATTTCATGAAAATCTTTGTAACTCTTGAACGAATATGGCTATGAAGTTGGTATTTATGTAGATCGAAATAGGAAGCTTTTCTTTATCGATTAGTCACATTACTGATCAAAACCTAATGAAAAATACGTTCAGAATCTCATTTTCAACATCTTAGCCAAGAACTCATCTGATTGGTCAACTATTGGCCCATCCGATTTCCACTAACTTTGATGGCTTTGAATGTTGTCTTGAACGACGAAAGCTTCAGATCTCTTCGTTCTTGATACTAAAAATTATTAAAAAAAAACAGTGATCGTCATTCTTTTTTGAAATTGATATTACAAATAATTTTAATATCTATTAGTAATCCACGATACGAAGCGTACAATACTACTGTACCTGCAGTAACAGTTGCTTCCAATCCAACAACACAACAGCAAGAACATATTCAAACGACAACAACAGTCAGTCCTAATCCTTTAATTGATAAGGGAACATATACATATATGCCAACTGATAAAAAAAAACACAAGTCAACTAAAAAAACAGTAGTTGTTCATACATCTCGAAATCCAACACCACCAGCACCAAAAATTGTTATTGAACAACCACGTCGATCTCGATTACCACGAAAAATTCAATCAACTACTGTATTGAAAGAACGAACCACACAAACACCATATACAACAACAACTACTTATGTTCGAACTTAAAAGTCCAATTGACTCTTGCTTATACAACTTTACCTATTAACCAACGACAATCCAGAGTGATACCTGAATTGTAAAAAAATACTAAAGCAAGCAATATCTTGCTAACAAATAACAACAAATGTTTTTTTTTATTGTAATTTAAACAGCATTAGTTTAATCTACATAATTAAATGAAAAAGACATTTTCTAATCAAAAATTGTCTGTGACTATCAGCTCCTGTAAAATATTTATTTGTTTTTAAATCGATCAATGAAAAGTATATTAAACGATCTCATACACATGCGAATTGAAAAAACAAAACAAGCTAAGTCTATACTATAGAACTACTAAAGATTGTATAGAATGTCTTGATAATGACACAATAAATAATTTATTCATCAAAGTCAAATTTAAACAGAATACAAATTCTATCAGAAGTTTTATTGAATTTTGCATATTTAACCATTACTTTACTGAGATATTTGGTATTATACGCCGAAACTTCATTTTCCATTTTTGAAAATCTTGTGATTAAATTGAATACCTCAATAATGTTTATATGCATAGGTTTAATGAAAGATTTGTATTACTCTATTTTATTAAATCTTGAACTAACGCATAATAACGTTGCAAATATAGTTAAATTGAAATACAATTTGACAAGACGTCTACTTTATTCGAACTTATTCCTTTTGATGGATGGCGAACTCATTCTGTCGCATCATTGTTTTCATGTAATCAATAGTACTTATTTAGTTGATGGAAGTATTTTTCATTTATTGACTATTAAAATATGACTTGAATGAAAGTTGTTTTTTCATTGAGATTGAAAGAAGAGGTAAGCCATATGATAGAAGGAGAAAAGAAAGGTAATAACAGTCCATCTTTTATTTCCTAGATAGATAGAAAGATATACTCTTGTTTGTACTTTTATATTTTCATTATATATTATGACTTCCGTGAGGTTATGCATCAATCGTTGAGTAAAAGATCAAATAGTTGTGCTTTAGTGTGTATATTATGGTCAACATTCAAGAGCATATCAATAGATAAACATAAATATAGGTTTTTTGTTTGCCAGTTAACTTACTTTGTTTCAATATGTTTTTAAAAATTTCTACTTTTTCTTGCTTGCATTCGCAATTTACGAACAAAGCGAGTGAGTCAAAAACTTGAAAATACTCGAGTCATATTTATTTAAAAAACAGTAATCTAAATCAATTTTAAATAGAATTCTACATTTGATTCAAGAATAAAAGTTAAGTCAGTAGAGTTTGTATGAGTATTTTATTATAACCATTTGATTAAGAAACTGTGGAGATTCCATTAGTAAAATTAATTTATTCACTTACTAAACATGATAACAACAACTATCCGATATATATTTATGACATCGAAAGTACAATCCCTCCAATCGACATTGATTCTTAGTTTTATATCAAATTATTTGAAAACTAATAGTGAGTATAACTACATGAATCGTCTGGTACTTTAATATCATGTGAGTTCATAATTATACGCTTAACAATTATTGATAAATGTAAGCCTTTAATATTATTTGAAGTGTCAACGTTATCTGATAATTCAAACTATTTTAATTGCACAAAATTTCGTACTAATGTTGACCAATTGTGTTCGTCTAACAACACTAAAGCATGATTCAAATATGGTAAATGTGTCATTAATATAAGTAAGCTTAGAAATATTTTTTTCGACTTCTGTCTACGATCGTTCAATTAGAAAAAAAGATAATAGTGTTTCCAACTTGACCACTATGTGTAAAGTGCTTGATTCGTCACGAGACGGAAACAGATGCGATCTTGTTACATCAGACATTTTGCCAGAATATATTACATATCCATGCAGTGAGATGCTTAGTCATATTTATCAGTATAGTATCGTGTACGGAAATGCTTCAATATCGTATTATACAAGAAATAACTAGCTGCATATGTATATTGTGTTATTAAAAATGTTTGTCTTTGAAAATATGAAGTAGCGTTACGTAGACAAATTACACTAATACATGTAGAAACTCTGACTAAGATCTGTATATCAAGCAGCGTAAGGTGTACTTTGTTGCTTATAATCTAAAATATATTTATTGCTTATACCATCCAAAAGAAAAAACATTATTATTATTATATCTATTCTATTTACCTTTGTATATCAATGATATTGAAACTAGAATTATTAATAAAAAAATGATTGTTTCTTCTAAATTTAACATATGTACAAAAGAAGAATTGAAGAAACTAGTAAGGTAAATATTGTTATTGTTTTCTATTCAAACATGAAATCACTTTAATTGAAATATTTTGTTATCATGTTTTTTTGTAGCATGCTAAAGAGAATAGGATTTCTATTTTTCGATATAGATATGAATTGTTTCGATCAGCAAATGCAATCAATACATTTTTATCTAACTCCGAATAATATTAAAAATCCGTTATTTAAAAAAACAAACTTTGTACATATTGAATTACCAAAAACTTCAATTCTTATCATCATGCGAATTATCAACAAAACTGTAATATGAATAACGTTGACTTCTCGTTAAATAATCGATTTTCAATTTGTTTAAAACATGAAGGTTTTTTAAATAATACTATGCTATGTACGATATAAAACAAATCTTTTTCAAATCTTTTTTATTGCATTAATTGTTGACGTCAATTGAATCTGTCCATGTACAAGAATATTTATGCTTGATAATACTTATGAAGAAATCATCTGTATCCGATTCTTATGTTTCCTTTTCTCATGATAAGAAAAAACATCATGGCAATTAGTTTATCATTCGAATTCGAATGTATTATCCAAGTGTGAATTATATTGAAAATGAGAAATATGAGAAGCTTTGTTTTTCTTTTTCTCAAGATAACATAGAAAATCGTTTGAATGTGTTTAATTTTTCTTATGTGAATAAAAAAAAAAATGAAAAAAAAATTGGGATAATTATTATTTTAATAACGCATTATATAAGAAATAAGAAAAAAAAACTGATTTGAATGAATAGATCTAGACTAGTATTGATTTAACGCGATTTAGATAATAGAGTTTTCTTGGTTGATTAAATAGTTTCTATTGTTATCCTGTTATTGTTTTCGATTATTTCTCATTGTCGGAATAATCTTCTGGATATTCACCGTCATCTTCAGCCTCTTCACCTGGATATTGACCTGCAGATGGTGTTGTAGTTACTTGTTTTGGTGTTGTTGTTTCTTGATGATACTGATGATCGTCTGCATCTGTATCATCCTGGTCATCATGATCATCATCTGCATCTGGTTGTGGTTGTGGTTGAGGTTGAGGCTGTGGTTGTGGTTGTGGTTGCGGTTGTGGTGGATAGTAGTCTGGTTGGTTGTATGGATATTGATTGTATGGATCATAATTAGGATATGATGGTTGAGGTTGAGGTTGTGGTTGTGGTTGAGGTTGTGGTTGAGGTTGTGGTCGAGGATAATAGCCATCATCTGTTACCTAAAATAAATCCGATTATATGAAAAAAAAGTCAGAGTAACATAGAAAAAAATACATACTTGTAAATCAATTGAAGCTTGATCATTAGCATTACCTGTACCAGCACTACATTCATATCGACCAGCTTCACTGTGGGTAGCATCGGGAATTGTGAGGCGTGCAATTTTACGATTACCTGGGAGTATTGTACTTTGTACCTTGAATGGCAATGGCTAGAATAAAAGATTATGCACTTAGATAAGAACAAATAAAAATGCCATATATGTATTTACTTGGTTACCAGCTCGTGACCAACGTGGTTGAGCATATTGATTATGAGGTGCAATGACTTCACAATCAAAATAAATGCTATGACCGACAGATACTCGAGATCCTTGATCAGGTCCATAGATATATACGTCGGCACGATTTGTTTGATACTGTTGTGGTTGATTGTATTGACTGTATGGATCATGAGTTTGTTGACCTCGATTATCTTGTGGTGGTTGTCGAACGTCAATACCCACGCTTCTTGCATATTCCCATGGTATACATCTTGGGCAACATTCACCTGGTAGAGTTCCTGCTACATAATCTTTGCCACAATTGGGTATAGCACATGCACGAGGATTACATTTTGGATCTGAATTTAATATAAGAATCAGTTTAATCCGATATTTCTTATGAATTCTCACCGTGGAAAGCCTGTCGTTTGACTAATCGACGAAGTAAGTTAATTCCTTGACTATCGAATTCGTATGACGACGATGCCACTAATTTTGTCGCACTGACAAAATAAACCGCCACATATAATACAATAGATGCTTGAACGAGCTTCATTCTACAAATAAAAAAATATGATAAGAACAAACCTTCAGTTCCTTTATAATATTCAAAGAGATGAATAGAACATCTTCGATCAAGTCGTTTTTTCGTCTCTAATGCAAACTACGATTGAAACGCTTTTTTGTATGGTGCCTTTTTATCTTGCTTATCTCATATTCTCCTATGAGGTAAACGTGAGCTGTAGATGAAATGAAATCCATTCCCTTTGCCTTTTTCACCCTCTCTCTCTCTCTCTCCCTACCACTTTTGTCTTATTGTTGAGGATGGTATAACCCTTTTTTTCATCATTTACTTAATTCAAGATAAATTTTTTTTTCTTATTCTTCCTTCATTCAGCAAGGTTATGTGTACGTGTCCTATCTCGCTTGGCTAATAATCATCATCTTCTATTTGTTCGCTTTCTCTCCTTTTTTTTGGGCTCGGTAAAAAAAAACTATATACATGTAAAATTTATTTAAATAAAAATGCGAATACAAACTATATAGACTTCTTACTTTTAAAACTTAGTAGGCAAATCGTAAAAAAAATGAAGTCTTCTCAATACTACAAAGAAAACATACATAGAGAAGAAGGAGAAAAGTCGCTTTAATCGTTTTTTAATCAAACAAATGTCATGAAAAAAAACTTATCGTACCTTGTCGGCTATACATCGAGTTGTTTATTCTCAAGCAATACAAGAAAAAGTACGAAAAAAAGGGTTGGATGTTATCTTTGTAATTTGAAATTTTGTTGCCATTAAACACAGAAATAGATGTGAAACTTAAGACAAGGTAATTTTTTTGTCTATCGATCTGTTTACATCGGTAAGTATTGCCAATACTCTCCTCTTATTTTTCATCAAGTAATGTTTTTTTTTTTGTTGTTATTATTCATATAGTTATGAATGTAAATTTTATTTGTGCTTTGTCCTGTACTTGCTATTACTGCAGGGAATAAGAAAACTTATCATTCGTGACATTTGAATTATGAACGAAATCATCAATGCTCATTTCTAATATACAGTTTTAGTCTGATCGAAACGCCTCATATCATATGAACACTTACATACAAGTCGAATTGTTTGCAATCGGTATATTAACTGATATAATAATAGTTGCTTTCTGCTTTACCTTATAGTGATGGCAGAATGCATATGGATATGCGCGTAGTATAGTACAGGTAAAAAATACATTATAACTAAACAAGGACGAGGAAAGAACGGATATACACAGTCAAACACAATTTTTCATCTATGTTATTAGTGCAATTGTATACAATTGGTTTAGTCTTGTTTCGCAATGGAAGAGTATGTATAATATTATATAATATTCAATAACGAATAAAAAGCAAGTATGAAAAGAAGCGCAGTCAAGCAAGAAATATTGTCAAGAAATTAAATCATTTAGACGTTGTCGTACGTTTAGAAGCAATAAAGTCAGTCTTATTAATCTTTTTTAGATTACAACCAAAAAAAAAAGAAAAATAATCGTTTTCGAGTTGAGAAATGAATGAAAAGAGTATATAGATCAAGGTTTTGTTTTATTCATGTATACGTCAATATCAATAGGGACATTTCAAAGGAATCAAACATCAAGAAGACTATTATGTATATGCACGATGAAATCTTTGATCGATTGAATTCGATTGATGAGTTCGAAAGAAATGAATAAACCACACAAAATGAATTTTCAGATGACTATTTTTTTATGGGCTTTGTATCTACACACACATCACAAATTACAAATAATCGAAGATGAAATCGATAAAAAAGATAAAAATCAAATGATATTTGATACATTATCACAAAGTTCTCGTGTAGAACATTCAAAGTTAATTTAAGTCACTTCAAACAATGATAGAGAACAAAAAACAATACAATGTATTTTGGTGAATATGATAGATAGTATTTTAAATTAATGTTCCTATCATCGAAATTCTCATGGAAGTGTACGTGTTGGAATGACATTGATACGAAGAGCATGGGAATAACAACATTTTTTTTCAAATACTTTAAGTATCTCATCATCAGTATCTTTTTTTCTGAATGTATAATTGTACCGACATAACTCAAATCATCTATGAAATACTCATTATAAACTTTTACTGAGTCATAAGAAAAGAATATATATGTAATATATGATGAGATAACATCATTTTTCTTTTCTTCACTGTAATAAAATGGAGTATCATTGATTGCTTGAGAGTAGCAAAGTGGAACTTATTTTTTCATGAAATATGACTAAAACTATAAACTACTTGTATAGAAAAAAAAATTTTTAATTGTTATTGATTTTTCAACAAATACAGCTTCTCTTTAAAAAAGTTTTGCTACAATGCAAATAATTGTGTATCATAAATTTTTTGATAAAAAAAAAGAAGAATTTTATCTATAACAATGTAATTTAAAAACGAATAATTTTGAAAAAAAGCAAGTTTCAAAAAGCTCTAAATAATTACTATTGATACAAAAAAAGATAGCTAATACTTCTCTATTTTTAATATAAGTTTCGTGGTTAAAAAATTGCTTAAGAGTGCAAAAAAAGCTCACAAAACAATATTGTTTAATTATTAACAAGGAAATTGAAAACGTCAATCATGCTCGAACATATGTCTAAGACATGTTTCAAAAGATAGGATTTGATAACTTTTTTTTTCAAGAGATTGTAATCGATACTGTACGGAATGAATCTTTATTTGTTCGTTGTTTGATGAATATCTCGTAAAGTATGTTTGTGAAAAATAAATTCGATCATCTATACTCTATTTATGATAGTTAACAGTAGTTCTGAAACATTTTTTATTAATGGTTTTTTTTCTTTCAAACAACATGTATACATCTATCATTATTAATTCCAAGGTTATACCATTAATAGGGTGTTAGTGCAAACAAATGACACTGTGCAAAAAATATTCTTCGTCTTTGTTTGTTTCATGATGACTTTGTATGATATGAAAGAGAAATAGTTACTGTTTACCTTCTTTTTTGATTACATTGCTATGTTAATTTTTTGATAGCACTTTACAAACTTCGGCGATTTTCGTTAATTATTTAATAAGGATCATTGTATTTACTGATGGTACTTGTTTTTTTGTTGTATATATGACATTTATGTTTTAATTATCTTCCGGAGTACTTGAAATTCGGTTTCCTGAAGCTAGTTTTAAATGAAGAATAGTAAATACAAGGAACAATATCATATCTTTGCTAGAAAGATAGCAGGAATGTTTTCTTTATGTTTGCCTCATTGTAAATTCGCGTGTCTACATTTACTTCAGATATATAAAAAGAAAAGTTACTTGTATCTGGTTGTCCATTCTTTAATCTCTAGATTTTATTACGCAGATGATTGAAAAGTGAATGAAATAGTTGAAAAAGCTATCTATGGTCGATTAAGTTTTGACCATTTCTTAGATTACAATTTAATCATGTGTTAGTCATGCTGTGGATGTTATTACCGATTACAATCGATGTTTGTGTGGTATTCAGTTGTAAGATCAATGTACAGCTCAGACATATGATTTTATTTATAAGATCTTTACTTTATTCACTCTTTATGCGGGAACAAAAGTGTAACCAGATGTATAGCACGGATCATTATTATTATTGATTTGATGATTTGCTTTCTAACATGCATAGAAAATGTAACTAGTGATGCCAAAGATTCTCTCAACTTTGATCGAAATAAAAATGGTTTGTAGCTGTAATTGTCTTGTTTTCTCTCGCACCATCTCTACACTTTTACTGATATGTCTGTTGTTATGTCAATAAAAAGATGATCAAGCATGAAACTTAATGAACGTTAATTAACTAACTTATCAAGAATTTTTTCATTTACTTTCCATCCATTCTTTTTCTAATAATAAAATTTGCTTTAGTTTAAACTGCTCATCTTTTAAACCCAATAAAAAAAACACATTGAAATCTCTATCGACATTTTTTCTTTTCGAACAAAATTGAAATTATCAAACCGAGCAATGCAGCCATTCATTTGCTCTTTACGAGTTCATAAAATTTGAATATCATAATGATAGATACTATTTGAAGTGTATATGATGTTTACTGGTTTATAACATTAATTGCTTAATCCAATAGTTCTCTACTTGTACTCATATATAGTAACAAAGAGAAATAATAAAAAAAAAGAAGAATTAGAAAGATATTATGGATGACTATTATCATCATTTGGATGAACATTTTCATGACCAAATGAAAATGTTTTGATAACAAATACTACTTTTGTTCAATATTCTACACTCAACAGGAATATATCAGTGATTCTTCTTTCTAGAATAAAAAACTCATCAAACTCTGTATTTATATGGAGACACACGATGCCATTGTCATCGAATTAAATCTACAAGCATCACTTATTCAGTATGTCATGAATAACTGCATTATATTGGCGGTTTTTCACTTTCATTGATCCACAATATTTGAATCAGATTTCTCTTTGAACAAACATCTCTTTTTAGTATCTGAAAGTATCATTGATAGTTACAAATGAATACAAAAACAGCGAAAAAAAAAATGAGAAGTTAAGATACTTTCAGAACTACTAGAAGCTTTAAGTGTTTCATTCTTTAAATCATATCTATTCTATAGAAATAATAAAGAACTTGAATGGATTTTTCAAGATAATGTTAATACATCTTTTGATAAGACGGAAAACAAAGCTTCATATGATGATTCTAGAATCGAAAACAATCTTGTTTTTATACCTTGATGTTATCTATAGTATAGAGCAATAAAATGCAGCAAAAATTCATATTGGAAAACTAACAATAAGTTTTATTTACTAAAGACAAATGATTGATTGATTGATAACCGATATGAATGACTTGAATTAAGTGCAAACAAGTAAGCAAAATCTATTCACAATCATTTGAACTATTACTCAAATGGCATTGCTAAATAAACTTAGCTCTTTAGACGCAATATAAGACAGTTTTTTGTTAATTGACAAATAACTTTTGAGATTGATTATGTTAAATATTAGGCAGTGAGAATGTATTGA